CATATGGTTACCAGGAAAGTTAGTGCCATCTGTGACTCTATTGGAAGAAGACAACTGGAAGCTCTCAGCAATCCATCTCTTCCCTTGGCTGAATTTAATCTGTATCTTTCACTGTATTAAACCATAACTGTAACTATAACAGCTTTCAATAAGGTCTATGAAGTTTTTCTGGCAAATTACAGAAACTGAGGGTGGTTTTGGGGACCCCCCAAATTTGTAATTGTCAGAAGTGAGGGTGGTTTGGGGACCCTGAATTCTGTAGTTGGTGTTCGAAGTGAGGGTGGTCTCAGATTGTTTTCAAACTTCACAGTATAATATGGTTGTCATTTCACTCTACATAGTACTTATCACCACCATAATTTTGTATTTCATTAATTAAAACCAATCTCTTCAACTAAACTCTAAGCACCTTGTGGGAAGGGATTACGACTGTTTATCATTCTTTAAGCACCTAGCAGAGTATCTGGCACATTGTAGGCAATCATCCTTTCCTGGAAGGCTGAATAGATAGACAAACCCAGTACAAACTTAGCAAGTACAATCTTAGCAAGTGAAAAATAACAAGACAATGATGTTTTGCAGAGAAGTATTACCAAAATGTCATTTCCTATCCACAAATTATAATTATTAGATTCTTTTCTCAATACTTTATTAATCAGTGATCCGTGTACATGCACTCCTACAATTAGAGTGTATGACCAGCTTAAGACAGTCAGTTTTAACTATTACCTCTCTAGATGGGTGCGATCCCATCCATAAAGACCAAAACTATATACTTAGTTAATACTTATGAACTCTATCATAAATAAATATAATTTTAATTACAATTTCTGAAAATAGGAGACTCCTGGATAAAATTATTAGTTCTTGAAGCCTAGAATTAAGGATTTTATATTTATGCAATGCAAAGTTTCTGGCATAGGCTCATAGGAGGCATACACTAAAAAGACTAAAAGATATTATTGGGGAATTACTGATCTGTCAGTTCAATAAGAACTGTTGAGATAATATAAAAACACCCAGTATTATTGGAAAATCACTAATCCTAGACATTAATAAACATGGCAGGAATAATATAATACAAATAAAACATAGTTAAGACAGAAATACAGACCTAAAAAAATACAGACCTAGAAAAATATCACAAATTCAAACCCTAGTATCATTTTTCTTTAGAGTACTTTCTTTTACCTTAAAAAATACTTAGACCTTTATAAATCATTAATGCCGTAGTGTTAGTGAATACTGGTGTTAATTGTAATATTCTTAGAGATGAAGAGCTCAGTCTACATTTATTGGATATCTACTATGCGCCAAGGACTGTACATAGAAACAAAACCCCAGACTCCCAGGTTCACAATTTAGTGTGGAAGAAATTAAATGCACACATATACACAGAAAAAATCCGGAAGAATATAGATCATTTTCAGTGGTTATCTCTGAAGCAGGGATTATAAGGGACTTTAATTTCCTATATCATATAGTTACAATGCTTAAATTTTGTAAAATGAATATATATATTCATAGAACTTAAAATATAAAACCTTTCTTTAAAAGGAGAAAAAACACCTGAAGGGCTTTTAAAATTACCTGTCTCCTACTTTTTCTCTACTATCGAGATCTTGAAAATCACAAACTGTGGTTTTGAAATTATAATTATTGTTGTACAATAATACATCAGTACAAGTAATATAATATATAAATTATATAGTTATATATAAATGTATAAATTATTTGTGTTAGAAAAGTAACTAGAAACTCAAAACGTTGATCATGAAGAGATTAGTTAAATAAATTATAGGACATTTACACCAAGAATACTTTTAAAAGAGGCAACGTTGTCATGTGGTCAAGAGCATAAACTTCAGGGCGCCTGGGTGCCTCAGTTGGTTACGCGACTGCCTTTGGTCATAATCCTGGAGTCCCGGGATCAAGTCCCGCATCGGGCTCCCTGCTCAGCAGGGAGTCTGCTTCTCCCTCTGACCCTCTTCCCTCTCGTGCTCTCTATCTCTCATTCTCTCTCAAATAAATAAATAAAATCTTTAAAAAAAACAAAACAAAAAAAAAAAGAGCATAAACTTCAGAGCTATAGTGCCTGAGCCTATACTCCCGCACTGTCAATGACTAGCTGCATAACCTGGGCAAGTTTCATAAGCTCTCTGGGATTCAGTTTCCACATCTGTGAAATAATAAGGAATCTATAAAACCACAAAGCGTTGTTGTATCAGCTACTATAAATAAATTAATACATAAAAAATAATACATATGGAAGTACCTAATAAGCCTTCAGAAAATGTTAGCTAATACTATTATGTGTATGGAAATGGAACAGAGTCAAACTTTAAACATTAAGTGAAAAAAGATGCAAAATATTTTGTATAACAATCCAGTTTTAGTAAGAAAATTATAATGAGAATGTGTTAGCATATAAAAAGACAATGTGGGAGGTAGTATGACATGTGGAATCACAAACCTGTGTTTTAGACCTGGGTTTAAATTCTGTGTGACCTCTGAAAAATAAGTTAATTTTTCCAGGTCTCAATTTCTTCATCTGTGACATTAGGATAATAACCTTACAGAGTTGTTGCAAGGATTAAATAAATATTTCTAAAGCACAATATCTGATACACAATAAGAATGGTAAATGTTAGCTACTGTTGGTATTGTTTTCATTATTGTTGAAACTAAGAGACATGCCTGTCTTATTCACCATTATACCCCTAGTACCTAAAACAATGCCTAGCACAAAGTGGATGCTCGATAACTACTTGTTAATTAAATGAATGAGTCAAACCATTAAAAGTGGTTAGTAGAGATGGGTAAAAAAATACAAAGATACTTTTATCACTATCTATTTCTGTACTTTAAGTTCTGCTATCAGAAAAAAATACACAATAATGTTCTCTAAACCCTTAAAGTAAAAAGAAGAAAGTACTAATTTCTCTAAAAAAACACTCAATTTTAAAAAGTTGGGGGAAAATGGAAAGACGTAGTAAGAGAAAAAGGGAAAACAAGTTACTAAGTTGAATAGCAAAGGCTTGATCCAAAAGGGCAGTAACGAGAGTTAGCAGTTTTATTTTCAACCTTTTTTTTTTTTTAAGATTTTATTTATTTATTTGGCAGAGAGACACAGGGAGAGAGGGAACACAAGCAGGGGGAGTGAGAGAGGGAAAATCAGGCCTCCCGCGGAGCAGGGAGCCCGATGCGGGGCTTGATCCCAGGGCAGATGCTTAATGACTGAGCCACCCAGGCGCCCCTATTTTCAACCTTTCTAAAGGTTAGATTATCCTAAGAAATTTTTTGAGTCTCAGAAATAAGTGTAATTTTCAAACAAATGCCATCATATTTAGCTTAGATTTTAAACATTAATCAAACCTTTTATCATTCTCTTTTTCAGCTTTTCCATACAACGGACCAAATGTATGGAGGCATCTAATAATATTCAACACTTCACTGTATATACTAGAACAGTTCTCAAGTGTGGTCCATGGACCCCTGGGAATTCCTAAGACACTTCTCAAGGGGTTCATGAGCTCAAAAATTGTTTCCTTAATAATTCAAAGACAGTTTTGCCTTCTTCCCTGCTTTCATATTTGCACTGATAGTATAATAGCAATGGTAGATAATACTGCTGGTATTTTAGCACCAATCTGGGCAGTGGCATTAAACTGTTTGATTGACACAGATAGTTTAAAAAAAAAAAAAAAGCCAGGTTTACTGAAGACTGTCTTTAATGAAGCAGTAAAAGTTATTTTTATTAAAATCTGACTTTGAAGTATAAGTCTTTAATATTCTATCAAATGAAATAGGTAGCACAAATAAAGCACTTTGCAGAACAAAATATGCTAGTCATTTCAAGGAAAGGCAGTAGGATGATTGAGTTGTGAGCTAGTTTGGCTGCTTTTACCTTGGAACATCTTTTTCACTTGAAAACACAAATGGCAGACAAATACAGTTGTCCAAACAGGGTATGTGGCAGATATTTTTCTTTGAATTGAGTGAAATAAAACTGTTACTTCAAAGAAAATACCTGACAGTATTTGGGTTTTTTTTGATAAAATTTGAACTTTCAAGTGAAAATCAGAATTTGGTTAAGACTAAGATCCTCCACTGTTAGTTTAAAAGTGTCATGATACTTAACCCACTGTGAGTTTAAAAGTTTAATGATACTTAACGACTTTCCTGATGATACACATGTGACTTGTTGATAATGTATGTAATCAAATGTGTCAACATTTAGAAGATCTGTATAAGTCAGTGAACTTTCAAAATGACCAATGCACCATATTATCAAATGCTGCATGAGTAAAAGATCCATTTGCAGAACAAGATAAACCAAAGAATTTTAACATAATAAAGAATAAAGTTCATTGATGTGGTTTCAGATTTCACACTGCAACTAACCTTTATGAAAGCAACATTTTTGGAGTTTTGATATCAAAGAATATCCATAATTCTCTGATATAAAAAGATATTAAAATACTCCTCCCTTTCCAACTACACATATGTGTGAAACTGAATTTTCTTCATATACTTCAACCAAAAACAAAACAAAACAAAAATACTGCAACAGACTGAATAAAGAAGCAGATAGGAGAATCCAGCTCTGTGCTATAAAGCCTTTTTTTAGATCTGCAAAAATGTAAAACAATGTAAAACGTAAATGTAAAGTTTCTTGCTATTTTTTTGTTTTGGTAAGTGTGATTGTTTTTCACTAAAAAATGTGTTATTTATGTTAACATGTAATGCATTTACTGTTTTTTAAAATCAATTAATATTCTCAAAATGTCTCAGTCTTAATGTCTAATATAATAAATATTGATAAATATAATCCATATAAACAGAGAAGCTCTTTGGAGATCTCAATAATTTTTGAGAACGTAAAGGGGTCCTAAGACAAAAAAGCTTGTGGACTGTTACACCAAAAACACAAAAGTGAAATAGAGTTCTGTTTATAGAAAGGATTGCTCTCAAGACTTCAGAGTATCCAAGGACCATACCTGCTTGGCAAAAAATATTGTGTCAAGTCTGGAGTCCTGAACTACAGAGCCGGCTGGTTCTTCTCCTGGCTGCCACTTGAAAAGAAAAATTAACCCATGAACTGGCCTACAAAATAAAATACAAATTAGTGACACCAAATCCTGCTTCTTTGTGAACACGCTGTCAATACATTACATTTTAGCAGCTACTTAACAAATACATTGCAACAAAATAAGTTTGAGAAAACTATTTAAGATTTCTATTGCTATTCACAGTCACTAGAATGTTGCCTATGACATGGCTAATAAACCTTAAAATTACACAAACCTACAAACCAAATAATTATAATGAAAGGTTTATTGTCAAATCTGGATTATTCACTTCCGCCTGGTATCACTTCACTTAAAAACTAAAAATAAGAACATAGCAAAACTAAAAGAAGCTGTTAACCCTAGACTGAATTCTAATCTATATGAATAAAGTCCATGTGGGATGTTTATAGATAAATGGTTTATAGCATATATATTACAAAATATATTAAGTCATCTTTATATAATTGTTGGATTCATGAAAAATTGTCAAACTGCAGTATGAATGGATGCTACCATCTTATACGTAATTAAGTCATCCACTTTCCTAAAGGAACTCTTGTTGCCCATGAAACAATCACCACTTTAGGATTCTCTCCAGTCTCTTATAACTGTCTTCCATGCAACAAAACCCGTTCCTATCCTTTGAAGACAGTTCAAATGATGCATTTTTAATTAACTTTTCCTGATTACTCAGCCAGAATTAATCCCTTATTTCATTTCAAGTCATTGCTCTTTCTGTGGGGAAGGGGAAAGTAGGGGGAAGCAAATGATCTCTTTACTATTAAGAACAGTAGCTATATCCCTGCAATCCCCATTTCCCCTTTAGAAGACTACTCTTTGTCACATTCCAAGAATCCAAGAATTCTCCCTCCAGTGAAAATTCCTCTAGCCCTCTATTTACAATACAGGGTCAATGCTTGGGGGCATGGAGATTGAAGGTAAGGGGCGTCTCCGAGAGTCTCTAGTTAGAAGGATGGGGGAAAAGGAAGATACTCCCTGGCATCTAAATTTGGAATTTGAACTGTAACCTCCCCAAGAAGCAATGTGATAATATATAGACAAGTTCTGAATTACTATTCATATATGTTATCTACTAAATATGTTTTTGTAGACTAAACTATTAGTCACGTTTTTAATGTTAAAATGTGTTCTACGATCTAACCCTATTGATCTATAAGTGAATATTGTAAAAAAAACAATCAACCAATTCTGACATGGAGTTACAGAGACTTAGTTTTTAATCCTTTAAAAGTTAATTATATCTGAGTCTCAGGTCTGGGTTATAAAATAGAGTAATAATACCTATCTCACAAGATCAAAGAAAGACTTAAAGGAGATGATGTAATCAGCCCACAGCAATCCAAGTAAAATAAACAGACAACAGTCTGCTTAAAGTACAGACATATTATTTTTAACACAACTAAGATCATACTTACTTTAATTTTTCAAAATTCTCAGGCTCTAAACTCCATATTTCTTCTACTTGGGCTCCTCGGCAACCTGAAATAAGAAATTATTTCTTTAGAAAACAAAATAACTCATTTTTTTCCTTCACCATTAAATAAAATTCTAAGTGAAAGAAATGCACATTTAGGGACAATGAGACAAGACAAATTAAAATGGTAAAACTGATAAAGCTCACAGCCATATCCTTTTACTTCCTTTACTACTTCCTAATTATTTATAATGGGAGTATATTACTTTCATAATTTAAAGAATTTTCAAGAGTTTGTTTTCACTGAAACACCACCCCAGACCTCTCAGTCTCTCTCAATCTGTCTCTTCTGCATCTGCTCTTTTCACTCAACTGCCGTTTGCCTAGCTCTGCTCTTGACCCTCTTCTTAACTATACACTTTTTTTAAGTGGTAATAAATACCATTTAACAGTAACTTTCATATCACATGTTTAGTTCTGACCCTTTTCCTAAATTCCAATTCTATATTGTCTTTAATGTAATTTTATTTTCAACTACCTCAGAGTCCCCCAAACATACCCTTCCTTAGGACAGTGTTTCTCAATCAGGTGATGTTTTTTGCCCCCACCTCGCTGCCTGGGAAATACTTTACAATGTCTGGAGACATTTTTACTGTCACTACTGTCACCAGTGGGAAGGCCTTGGCATCTAATGGATAGAGGCCAGAGTTGCTAAACATCCTACACCACACAGGACAGCCACCAACAGCAAAGAATTATCTGGCCCAAATTGTCAACATTGCCAAGGTTGAGAAACCCTGTCCGAGTAGATGTATCATAGTAACAGTGTACTGGTTAAGATGTTGGCTTCAAAAATGCCAGGGTTTGGATCCCGGCTCCTCCATTTACTAGCTATATGACCATTTAACCTCTCTGTTCCTCATACTTAGGGAGTTGTTATGAGGAATCAATGAGATAATTTAGTATGCATGAGATACATTTAATACAGTGCCTGGCACCCTATAAGGGTTTACTAACAGTTAATTAATATCACAATACAAAAACCAGCCATATTTAGCTCGCCTTTTATCTGTAAAGTGCTTTAAATGCATTACCCTAATCACTGCAAGGCAAGTATTATACAAAAGTAGCTTAGGGATGTTAAGTGGCTTGCCTAAATTCACTACAGTTAGCATATGCTAAAAAATTAAAACCCACATCTGGTTCCAAAGTCTGGACACTTTTTAATATTCCAGATTATTTTCAAGTAAAAGCTAGAGAAGCCTTTGACATGGGGAGGAAAAAAACAGGTGTGTCAACTAACTACATGACTTTGGGCATTCATACCATCCCAGGACTCAATTTGCTCTATTCAGTAAATACCTATTAAGTACCTACTCTCGTATTAAAGATATATGTACAAGGGAGAGTTACTAGGTTGTCTTTAGTAGAAAACATGTTGCTAGACATTCACATATAGGAAGTTGGAGGAAAAAGCCTTGTAAGTGTGAACCTATATTTATATGAGTGTTGAAAAGGGCACGAAAGGACACTAATGCAATTGTTCTTTGGGGTTTTTTTTAAAGATTTTATTTATTTATTTGCTAGGCAAAAAGAGAGAGCGTGCACACAAGCAGGGGTAGCAGCAGGAAGAGGGAGAAGCAGGGTATTTGCTGAGCAAGGAGTCCAATGTGGGACTTGATCCCAGGACTCTGGGATCATGACCTGGTTTTTTTTCAGACGATTAACCCAATGAGCTACCCAGGCGTCCCGGAGACTATTCTTTTTCTTTTTTTTAATTTGTCAGAGAGAGAGCGAGCATGCACAAGCAGGGGGAGTGGCAGGCAGAGGGAGAAACAGGCTCCCTGATGAGCAAGGAGCCCAATGCGGGACTCGATCCTAGGACCCTGGGATCATGACCTGAGCCAAAGACAGACGCTTAATCAACTGAGCCACCCAGGTGTCCACTAATGCAACGGTTAACACTGGTTACTGCTATTGGAAATCAATTATAAAGAGGTCAAACATTAAAACATTGCACATATCATACTAAAACAACAACAAAAATCCATTGAATAAACATGTCCCAAAATCTACATTGGCTGAATTTCAAGTGGTCACACCTGTTTAAACAACCTTATGCTAAACACACACACACCTCTTTGTGTAGAGAAAACATAGTATTCAACTCTTAGTATCTATCTCCTTATATACACTCAATATCTAATAATCCCCTTATGTACACTCAATTTCAAGTAATGCATGGTATAGGAAAGAGAAAGAAGCAGTGATTTAAGAGACCTGGGTTCCAATCCCAGCACTGCCTTAAATTCTTAACCTTGAGCAAGAACATAATGTTTTTGAGCATCACTTTCCTTGTGTATAAAACAAGGGTATTCCTACTCCCTGCTTCATCCAATCCACACAATTCTTGTGAGGTATACATTATTAAACACTAAAGAATCCCCTAATGCAGATTCCCTAACATATATTAAGTAAAAAGATGGGGGCAGGGTGGGGGAGGCTTTAAAAAGTTAACAAAATGTTGGTATTTTACAAACACCTTTTATGTGCCAAGCATAGTACTAGGCCCTGGCAAGGACAGAAAATAAACTATTGTCACAGTACTTAAGAACATCACAACTAGGGGCACCTGGGTGGCTCAGTCGTTGGGCGTCTGCCTTCAGCTTGGGTCATGATCCCACGGTCCTGGGATCCAGCCCCAGGTCGGGCTCTCTGATGGGCAGGAGACCTGCTTCTCCCTCTCCCACTCCCCCTGCTTGTGTTCCCTCTCTCGCTGTCTCTCTCTCTGGCAAGCAAGCAAGGAAGCGAATGAATGAATGAATGAATAAATAAATAAATAAATAAATGAACATCAGGACTACGGGGCGCCAAAATGAACGAACGAATGAATGAACGAATGAACATCACAACTAGGGGGCGCCTGGCTGGTTCAGTAGGAAGGAAGGAAGGAAGGAAGGAAGGAAGGAAGGAAGGAAGGAAGGAAGGTGGGGTTAGAGGAAGGAAGGAAGGAAGGAAGGAAGGAAGGAAGGAAGGAAGGAAGGAAGGGAGGGAGGGAGGGAGGGAGGGAGGGAGGGAGGGAGGGGAGGGGAGGGAATGAGCAAAGGAGGGAAAGGGCTTCACAGCTAGCAGGAAACAAGTATATACAATTCAAAGACAATGCAGCATACATAATTTGCATATGAAAGGTACACTGGAGAGCCTTCTGGAAGTTAAGAGGTAGGAGAGACCATTGCTACCTTTGCTGATCAGAGAAACTTTCCTGGATAATTGAACAGGGTCTTAAACAGGATGACCATAGAATCTGTCATCCAAACTGGAACACTACTCCAAAATGAAAGGAAGTACTAAAATTAAAATGTTTGAAATATTTACGTATTGACAAACACATTTGCATCATGATACAATGATGTGTGATTTTATGATGGCTCCATAAAATAGTTCTATTCAAAAACTAATTTCAAAATAATTCTCTTAAAAATATACCTGGAGCATTTCTCCCCAAGAAAAATACCCTGGTGGGGCCCTCCCTAACTGTTGCCAGTGCCTTAAATTTAAATTTAATGCTATCTTCCAATCCCCTAACCTCACCAAGTCTACCAGAAGTAAAGGCATGGCCCCAGCTTCTGTACCTCCTACAAAAAAATAGTCCCAGATATCTTCCTTAATCGTGTCATTTCATGTTAGTTAGTGATGTGACCAAACAGGAAAAAGTGGATTGTGGGCACTCCAGGCAAGCACTCCAAAAACAAGGACTAGACTCAACTATTTGGGAACCTCAAGTTGGAAAGCTGTTAATTTGTATCCCTAATGAGAGGGTTCCATTTTGGGGGCCCCAATGATTATAAATACTTGTTTCTAGGGGTACCAGGTGCACTCTCATTAAGTATACTTTTACTTCTTGTGTGAAAGCCAGGCATTAACGTGCCTCTCTCCTCAAAACAAGGGAACATATACCTCAAGAGAAGTGATAACCGACCTTCTTGTCAAGGAAACACTATGTTGGCCCCAAAAGTCATTCAGATTTGTCTCAACTCCTGGGCCAGAGTTGTGGATGATGGAATTCTGCAAGACTTCTTCCTTGCAAGCCCAGGAGTCCGTGCAATCACTAAAATACCCTGCTCTACCTGAGTTCATGCCTTAAGCCAAGATGAAAAGTCAATACAAAAATTTAAGGAGAAAGCCACCTGCTTTCTAATATAAACACTACAAGAGGTAAATTAAATAGATTTGGTACCAGCCCTGTGGGTCAGATCAGATTAATCAGAGTAGCTGAGGGAAAGGCATGTTTGGTATAGAAAACAAGAATGGATTTTGTTGGAAGACAACTTTCAATGAATTTCTCCTGTTCCTGCTTGTCTTCTGAGAGTTCTGGACTACCTTTTCAAGGATGTTATTTTAATAAACAGACTTAAAAGACAAAGCGTCTCCTCCTGGTGCAGAGACAAGACTTATTTGCTATCCATAGAATCTTCCTAAAGCTAAAGGTAGATCAGGTTTGTTAGCAACTTCTTTAATAAAATTGGGAGTTCCCTAAGCTCAGGGTTCCTTAGCTATGATATAGACCCATGTGTGCAACATCCACCGGGATCCACCTTCACTCCCATGGACCTGTAGGACAAAGGAACCAACATCAAACATGAATCTCCTGCTGCTTACTGTGCCAAAGGTAATACAATTCTTTATCTCTTTATCAATCTATGAATAATACAATTCTTTATAAAACAGTGGCAGGCTAACTCGTTAGCTGGCAAACAGGATAAAATATAATAGTACATATTTCTTAACAGATGTTGGATTTTATCAAATGCTTTTTGTGTCTATTGAGATAATCATATATTTTTCTTAGTTTGTTAATATGGTAAATCACATTGAATCTCAAATGTTAAACCAACATTGAATTCCCAGGATAAATTCCACTCAGTCATGATATATTGTCCACTTAATATACTATTAGATTTGCTGAAATTTTGTTTAGAATTTTTCTATATATGTTGATGATGGAGTTAGGTCTGCAGTTTACTTTTCTTGTAATGCCTTTGTCTGGATTGGGTGTTAGGATAATGATGGCCCTCATAGAATGAGATGGGAAATATTCTCTTTCCATTTTTTTGGGGAAGTTTGTGTAGAATTGGTATTACTTAATCCTTAAATATTTGAAATAATTTACCAGTGAAACAATTTTAGCTAGAGTTTTCATTGTGAGAAGATTTTAAATTATAATTTTAATTTATTTAATAAATATAAGGCTATACTGGTTATCTATTCTTGTTTGAGTTTTGGTAATTTTTGTCTTTAAAGAAATTTATACATTTCACCCAAGTTGTCAAATTATTGTCATAATGATGTTTAGAATACTCCCTTATTATCTTTTTAATCTATTTTTTTTTTTTTTGATATCTCTCTCTTACTTCTACTATTGGTCATTGGTGTCTCCTCTACTTTTTTTTTTTTAAGATTTTATTTTTAAGCAATCTCTACACCCAACATGGGGCTCAAACTTACAATGCCGAGATCAAGAGTCACATGCTCTACCAACGCCCCTCTCCTCCTTTTTCTGATCAGGCTGACTAGAGGTTTATCCATTTTATTGATCTTTAAGAAACCAGCTTTTTGTTTCATTGATTTTCTCCACTATTTTTCTTTTTTGTTTTACTAATTTCAACTCTGATCTGTATTATTTCCTTTCATCTGCTTACTTCAGGTTTCATTTGCTCTTCTTTTTCTAGTTTCTTGAAATGAAAAGTTGGGGTCATTGATTTGTTGTAGGAAAAGTAAATGCAGTCCCTGTTAATTCCATTTTGGCTGGAAACAGAAGTTTACAGCTTCTGTTTTTAATCAGTAGACCATAATAGTTTGTTTTGGTGCATTTATGAATTATGTATGTACCACACCAATTAAAAGCTTAAGTTCTGCTCCATCAGTTTCTTAATAAGAATTTTGTTTTTTGAGGCGCCTGGGTGGCTCAGCCAGTTAAGTGGCCCACTCTTGGTTTCAGCTCAGGTCATGATCTCATGGTCATGAGATTGAGCTCCGCATCTGCACTGGGTTCTGTGCTCATCCGGGAGTCGGCCTGAGGTGGGAGTTGGCTTGAGGATTCTCTCTCCCTCTGCCCCTCCCCACACTTGCACACATGCATGCACTCTTTCTCTCAAATAAATAAATAAATCTTTAAAAAACAAAAAAGTCTTGTTTTACCATGACGTTACATCCACTAAAATTTGTATTTACATATTCACTAACACCACAAATACTTTCCCCTCCAGTGAAGAAAATTTCAAAATAAATTGACAATAGCATTCATAACACAGTAAGATTGTCCACTTTTTAAAGAATGAACTTCAAAAAGCTTTTTAAATCCATGAATTGGATAAGAAAAAAAATGGAAATGCTTGGAATAAACTTATTTTCTCTTTGAAGTATCTGATGATGATATTATTTCCATCATTTAATTTTTTGCAGTTTTTCTGCTAATGTAACCAATCTATTAATAGCAATTGCTCCACTTTTTATATGTGCCAGTGCAGAAGATACATTTACATATCACTCTCTTATGCACGACTTTTAATCATTTTCAATTATAAGTTTTCTATACATATGGAACTTAAATAATAACTGTTAATGGAGTGGATTAATTTAAAAACAAACTTGCCTAGTATACTATTTCTTAAAGTTAAGTTTAGTACGTCATTAATAGTTAAGGTTTTGAAAGTAAATATTATGGCTAAACCTGCAGACATCTCAAACTAAATATCCAAAAATGAATTCATTTTCTTGTCCATCAAGCTTGTTCATCAAGCTTCACCAGCCACTTAAGCTAGAAACCATGGAGTCATTTTCACACTTTCCCCTACATCCAGTCAGTCAGCAGTCCTGTTGATTTAAATAGAGCAAAAATACTGCAACAACCTCCTCCTCTTTAACCCATTACTTTATGTCAAGCTAATCAACTAACTCCAACCATTTTAAGAGACTTCTAGCTTCTTTCCCTTCATACTACTCCACCCTGCACACTACAAATAGTAAACCCTTTTAATTATATATGTCATTTCAGCATTCAATTATCCTTAAGTCCCCAGTGACAAACTATACAACTCAGCATACAATCTGGCCTCAGTTTACTTTTCAGCTTCAGATTGAAACAGTCCTCTTGTCTGTTACATTACGTGCTTTCCGTCACTTTGCTATTTCCTGTGGCGTATACTTTAACATTACTACACTTTGTTTTTCTTTGCCTGTGTTCTTCCATAACGTGTGTTCCCGTAACATTTTGTATATGCTCTAACATAGCAATTAATACACCATATTAACTTGAGTGTCATATCTTTAGAAGAGCAGTCACGGTTTATTCACATTGAAAATTCCCAAGCCCAACCAGCGTGCCTGAGATATGGTAAACAATATACGCTTGATAAATTATATTCCAAATATTCAGCTACGTACAATAGACAGTATCTGTATCAACGCTTAGTTTTTATCCCGAGGACAAGTTTTAACATAATAGCTAGAATTAATACTTGAAGAAATGTAGCAGTAAAGTTACTGCCCAAAGGATAGGTACAAGGACAAAAAAAAATATAAAGTCAAACACGCTGACTATTTAGGATGTAGGACAAGGAACACGGCCAGAAAAAAACCTGAGGAAAGCATGTGGCCTCTCGTTTAGAGCACTAGATCAAGAAACCACACTTTACCGGAAGCCAAAAAACGAGCAGGGAGAAGAACTAGCAAAGTGGCTTGCTTGTCAGTCCCACGCAGTCAGCGTGTGTGAACGTCCGCAGAGCGATTCACACACTCCAGGTGTTCTGCTTTGAGTAACCAGAATCTCGGGTTCCTGCGCGGCTTGGGCCCTACACACCCCACCGTCGAGGCGGCACACCCTAGCTTTTCCTGCAGGACTGATGGCCTGAGAACGTGCATCTAGACACACCTGCCGGGTAAGGGGAACGCGCCCCAGAGAAGCGACGGTGGAAAGGGAAAGATATGTGCGTAAGGGCGAGGCGAGGAGCGCTCAAGTCAATTAACAAGTAATTGAGTGCCGAGTCCTGAGGATACGACAGTGCACAAGACAGATACGATCCCTGCCCTCGTGATGTGGCTCTCAAATTTACTGCGGAAACGCGACTGCCCAGGACTGAGGAGGGGGCGAGAGACCTCCGCGATCCAGGTTTCTGGAGTCGCCTCCCTTCAGACGCGAGGCGGCGGTGGCCGCAGAGAACCACTCCATGCCCAGCTTGGGCCTCCTCCCGTGACCCCCGGCCCAGGACTGTCCCTTGGCTCTCACCGAATCCTTTAATGAGCTCGGTGAAGACCCCGGGGTCGCTTTCCATGAGGCACCACTCCCCGGCATTGCCCGTCATGGCCCCGGCCACACACCGCCCCGCTCCACCTCAAGCTCTGGCCGCCCCCCACACCAGCTGCAGCCAGCCACTGATCTCGGCAAACCCGCCGCTGAGCTCGTCAATCCCACGTCACCCCGCCTACTTCCCGACAGCCTCCGGGCGCCGTCACCTGCAGCGCGACAGAGCGCGGGAGGACGCTCTAGCCACCCAGGAGACAGAGAAACTCTTCCTAGACCATGCAGGACCCGTAGCGGATTCGGAAGGGGCTGGGGCCTAAGAAGAAAGGGCGGGGATTCAGAGCGCCGTAGGAGGTAACATCCGGGATCCTCTCCAGCCGGGGGTGGGGCAAAAGGAGAGGGGCGGGGCTCGTTCCCGGGAGCCGAGCCTGGAGTCCCCGGCGGCGGTGGAGTTGGAGCAGTTACCGGCCGTGGGGTTGCAGCAGCTTCTTATCGATTCCACGCACCGCGCAGGGCTTCTCCCGGTGGCCGCTGCGGGTTCGGAGTGTCGGCCGCCAAGCATAGGTGAGGAAACTGCGGGAGGCCGGCTGGGGCCCTTTGTGCGGTCTGAGTTGCCCCGGGGAAGTGCAGGGTTTGGCTGATCCTCCATGTCCCTCATCCAGCATCCCAGCGGCTGAGGCCGGAACAAACACTTCGCCAAACCATCGTTCTCCCGTCCTGCCGTTGCTGGATAGCGGAAGCAGCATCTCTGCGGGCACAACCTCGCTTGGCCCGGCTCGTTCTCTCCCGAGGGTGGGCCCTTCCCAAATCCCGGATCGCTCCGGCTTGTGCTTGCATAGCTTTCCACAGGCCAGCGTCCGGAGGGCCTGCTTTAGCTTTACTCCTCCTCTTCCTCCTGCTCCTCCCGCGGCTTTTGCGCCGAGAGGCGTTGCCCCGGATTTGGAGTTTGGGAAGAGGAATCTTTGTGGGAAGACAGAAGGTGAATTTATCCTCGAGGGAATGACGAGAGGAAGATCTGTAGTTCATGGAGATGATAGATGCCTCAAAGAAAAGGAGGTTGAAAAAACGTAGTGTATTAACTTAAAATCATTTGTAATGTTTCTAAGATTAAGTGAGGAGTTAACCCCAAAATGCCTATTTTCGCTAAATCGTGAAATTGCCCTCATTCAGCAGGCTTTTGCAGAATAATAGTGTTAAGATAAAATCTTCAGGAGTATGTGTATTTATGCATCACTCCTTAAAGCTCTGAATTCCAAGAAGGGCCTTTGGATTCCAGACAAAAATACTTCAGTAGACAAAACTGACCTATACCTCAGAGTTAGCGAGCATTGTGTTACGGACTATGTGAAGCCACAAAATAAACATGACAAATATTACTGAGGGAAACAACAGAACAGTTTTATATTAAAACAAGCATGGCTGTGGGGCGCCCGGCTGGCTCAGTCGGTGGAGCATGCAACGCTTGATCTACGAATTGTGAGTTCGAGCCCCCCATTGGGCGTAGAGATTACTTTAAAAAAGGGGGGGGCATGGCTATATTATGGAGTAGAAATGAAAGTTTGTATCAAGTGTTTGATTTTTTTTTAATTTGAAACTTTGGCGGGGGAACTTCTGTTCATTATTCCGTTAAGTATACTAAATGGAAAAGTTTGTGAGGCACTCTTGTCTAGCTCTATTTCCTCCCAAAGCTGTCTGTGGCAAATTTTAACGTATAATATTACTGTGAACTTGAAAGTATTTTCTGTGCTGAATATGCACTCATAACTAACATTTATTTGATATCCAACTTAACATGGTGCCTGTTGCAGAAAGACCAAACAGAAAATTTAGCCCTTTACACAACCTAGAAGTAACCAGAAAGGAGGGTTAAAATTTCTTCAGTTATGTTAACATTTAATCCTAACTTCACATGAAAATCCAGATTTCTGGGTCTTTGAGAAAAATAAGATTTGGTAATACAAGGCCCCTGCCACATGGCAGCCACTTGGCTTGAAAGTGTATGCCTTTCAGGATGGCATGCTGTCATGTTTGCCACAGTTCCTCACCACTTTTTATTGCATCACATTTGACTTGATCAACTCAGGTACACTACCAGGAATGATACAGTTGTTTGAATTTGTGGCCTCAGTTTTTGCAGTAATGTTTCTTTTAAATTGTCTTGCATGCTCATAGATGTATGTCAGCTTTGACTTCATTTAGAAAGGATTAAGCTGCAAAACTTGTTTGACCTCTTGGGATGAAAGCATTTTCAAATAACAAATGATCAAGAGACTTTGGAAAGATACTCAGATGTGTACATTCAAGAAAAACAGTAACCCAAGAAATAATATTAGTACTGTTAAAAGATAGCTATAGGGGCGCCTGGGTGGCTCATTCAGTTAAGCGTCTGCCTTCGGCTCAGGTCATGATCCCAAAGTATTGGGATCAAGTCCCGCATCGAGCTGCCTGCTTGGCGGGAAGCCTGCTTCTCCCTCTCCCTCTGCCTGCAGCTCCCCCTGCTTGTGCTTGCTCTTTCTTCTCTCTCTCTGACAAATAAATAAATAAAGTCTAAAAACAAATTTTAAAAAAAGATAACTATAAATGTTCTAATGAACACAGAGCAGAAAGAAGTGCTATTACATATTGTGTATTAATTACTAGCGTTCACTGATTTTTGCATTCAATATTAAGAGAGAAGTGGGCAATGTATAAAATGGCCACGACCGATTTCAAATCGTGGCCATACCTTTAAAAATACTGTGATCTGTTTAATTCTTCCCTAAATTTTAATTTACTGAAGTTTAAAACAACTTTAGCTCTATTAAAGTCTTTGGAGTAGTGTGCTTTAAGAGCACTGGATAGGACAGGCCAACCCAAAGAATTAACTGTCGTTTTTTGTTGTTGTTGTTGTTAATCTGGATTTACAACTCTTGATTATTCAGGAGTGGATTAATTGATGACCAGGCTCTGACCTCGCTCACTGCCCAAAATGCCTTCTAAATCACTGACAATGGAGCTTAAGCTTTGAGGAGGGAGATGATGGGAGTTGGGGAAAGGGGAGATTCAGGTCCTGTATATGTATGTGTGTATCTCAAATTGCTTTCTGAAGACAAATATAAAAAATACAGGGTTAAATATTGTTTGAATGTCTATTTATTTAAATAACTTCCTGGCTATATTTTAATATAGTTAATTTTTAGTTTTCATTTTTTTAATGACAGATTTTTGAGACAGAATTCCTGTGTCATGAAATTCACTATTTTTAAAATATGCCATACAGTGAATTTTAGTATATTCACAGACTTGTGTTGCTATAGGCAGACTGAGTCCATGGAACCAGAAAGAGTCCCGCAGGACCAGCCAAGAGGGTCCTTGGCTTTACAAAGGATAGAAATCAAACACCATTTGAGAGGAAGTGGGAGCAGAGTTTTTTGAAGATACAGAGAGAGGACAGATAGAGACACAGTATCTGAGAGACTCCAAAAGGAAAGGAGAGTGAGTCTGTTTTGCTTGGGGGATGGGGTTTTTATTGAGGATTGTGATCTGGTGTGCATGTCTTCTCAGACATCCAGAAACTGGGCAAAACAAGGACGAGTCCTCTGTGTCCTCCTTAAGTCACTTACACCAGGAAGCTTGGCGTCCGGGTGTCTAGAGTCAGTGGTCTGCAAAATGTACATGACAACTTGCCCTGTCACTCCTATTTATTGTAATGGAAGACTCCAAAGAAATCATTAACTCCTGGACCCTTACAAGAAGGGCATACATTATTTGTACCATAAGTATAAAAAAAAAATGTATAAGGTGGGGGTGCAGGTCCTAGCAAGAGTAGAAGCAGGAAAGGGAGCAAAAAAAGCAGTTCTTCATGGAGTCCCTTCAGTTTCCCTATCTCAGTGTAACCATCACCACTATCTAGTTTCAGAACATCTTCACCACACCAAAAAGAAACCCCTTACCACTTCAGAGAACAGTCTGGCAGTTCTTCAGAAGGTTAAATATAGAGTTACCATGTGATCCATCATTTTACATTACCACTAGCAATGTATGAGGGTTCTAATTTCTCCAGATCCTTACCCACACTTACTGTCATTTTCATTGTAGCCATCCTAGTGAGTGCGAAGTGGTATCTCATTTCAGTTTTGACTTGCATTTACCTGATGAGTGATATGAACTGTTGGGGTTCAGGAGCAAACAGTCAAGAAAGAATTCTTGAAATGTCTTTAGTGCAGAAAGGGTGATTTTATTTAACCATAGGAACGGGACCCGTGGGCAGAAAGAGCTGAATTGGGGTTGTGAGGAGTGGCTGATTATATACTTTCAAATTGGGAAGGTGTTAGGGAGACTTACGCTATTAAGTCTCCAAGGAATTTGAAAGCAAGGTTTCCAGGACCTTGAGGGGCTAGCTGTTAGGAAAATGTCATTTATTACTGTCTAATAAAACCTTAGTTATGAGACTCAGATGTATATCAGGAGGCCAGATGCTTGGAGGATGACTGCTAACATATATCTGGAGGAGGGGGATAGAGATAAAGGAAATTTTCAAAAGGATTGTGATAGGATCCTGGAGATTGGGCTAATGTCAAGCTAAGGTTGCCTTTTGCCTTATTAACGTTGAGGCAGCTACCTAAGCTCCTTGATATCAAGTTCTCTCTGCCTGTCCCACGTACTTGTCAATGGGCTGCAAAGGAAATTTAATTTTTTCTGTATTTCTTTCTCCTTTGTTCTCCACATCAATGAGTACTGATATTCGGCATCTTTTTATGTATTTATTGGCCCTTTGTGTATCTTTGAAGACGTGCCTACTCAGATGCTTTGCCTATTTTTTAATTGGGTTATTTTATTATTATTGAGTTAGGAGGGTTTTTTTAATATATATTCTAGATATAAGGTCCTTATGGTATGATTTGCAACTATTTTCTCCCATTCCATGGGATCTCTTCACATTTTTGGTGGTATCCTTTGAAACACAAGTTTTAAATTTTGATGAAATCCAGTTTATCTTTTTTTTCTTTTGTTTCTTTTGCCTTTGGTGTCTGTTTTGAGATCACTTCTCTGTCACAGACGCTGTCCTGCAATTCAGTTCAGTTCCAGAGTTAGCTTCAGATCCCACAAGTTAGAGGGCAAGATCCCCAACAAGACTGCCCTTATTTCAGACACCAGCTAGAGTGGGGTCCCTAGTCTATGCAACCAAATACAGTAAGTCTTCCCACAAC